GCGGGTTCAGCTGCTGCCTCCATCTCCTTGTTGCTGATGCTGTGGTGCTCCCGCCAGATCTGGCTGCCATGCTCCACCTCCCTGTGCAGCTTTCGCCACCAGCCCCACACCCACTGCTTCTGAATCTGCCATTGCTGCTGTTTCTGATGGCCATGGGCACCTCGGCCTACTGTGGGGACAGCGCTGAGCACAAGTAGCCACAGGGTAAACAGTGCTTGGGCTCATGGCAGGGACATGGTGGTGGCAGCAGCAGCAGCAATGGAGGCCTCGTCACCTGGTGGTACCTGCCCACTGCCACAGCAGCAAGGCAGAGCAGCCCTTGTTGCACACCTTGGGGACACCAGCATGGTTGTGGGGGCCATGGTGGAGGAGGCAGGCTTAGCTGCCACCACCTTCTGCTTGTCATTGCACTCACAATGCTGCTCCTAGCGGCTGCTGCTGCCGTGGTGCTCCCACCATGCCTGGCTAGTGCACTCCACCTCCCTACATGGCTGCTGCTGTGGCAGTGGGTGGCTGCTGCCAGGTGATGAAGCTGAGCCAACCCCACTGCCACCACGTACCTGCTGCAAGCCTGACCACCTCTTGCCCCATGGCCACTTGTGCTCAGCACTGCCAGTGCAGCAGGCTGAGGCACCTGTGGTGTCCAGGAACAGCAGCGATGGTGGGTACAGGAGCAGTGGGTGTGGGGCCAGTGGCAGCAGCCATGCAGGGAAGTGGAGCATGGCAGCTGGGCATGGAAGAAGCACTGCAGTGGCAGCAGCCAGTACCACAAGCAGCACCATGAGCACCACTGTGAGCGCGGCAACAAGGATAAGGCGGTGGCCAAGCCCACCTCTTCCTCCTGCTCCTCCTCCTCCTCCTCTCCCTAAGGGTGTGGCAAGAGCCTCTCTGCCTCGCGTGGCAGGAAGGAGTGAGAGGCCAAAGTGTACTGCAGCTGGCCCAAAGCAGCCAAGATATAGGACAGGTCTTCTCTCTCCTTGCTGGCAGCCCAGCTCGGTTCAATGGACCCCTGCCAGCCCATGCTCCGCACTCCTGCTGGCCTGCTCTGGGCCCTGCCAGTGCTGGCCCTGGGACCCCAATGCAGGCCCTGCAATCTGCTCACTTCCACACCCCCTGCTCCTCGCCGTCGCTTTCCCCACTTTCCTGCCCGCCCGTTGGCCACTCTGCACCACATCACTCCTGGCTGCATGGACAAACCATGGGAGACAGAAGGAGCTGGCTTAACCCCGAAGACTGGAGCAAACCCCACGGTCCTCCCCTGCCTCCCCACCCCTCCACCACTCTTACCTGAATTTCCCACCCTGGTAGAGGGAGGCATGAACAGTCCCACAAACCGAAGCCAGAAGCCTCTGCTAGGCAGGGGCTTCTGGCTGGGGGAGGGGACAGGGCTGGGTGGGCCCTGGTGTTGCAGGAGCCTGCTGTGGCTTCCCCTGGGTCCTACTGCCCCTGGCTCCTGTCATCTTTGACAGGAGCCAGGGGTAAATAAATACTATTTTTCTAAATTTTTTAGGGGCCCGCTGGCTGGATAGAATGGCCTGGTGGGCTGGATCCATCCCGCAGGCTGTATATTGCCCACCCCTGTGTTAGCTAATATGACCATCTGGTCATTCTGCAATGAAACAGAGAACTTTGCATGGTCTAAGATAGTCTTACTTCACACTAACATAAATATAGATGAGTAATAATTACTTTCTCTGTTAAAAACAAAATGGAATCTTTTTTTTTCCATTGGTAACTAACTTTGATTGACTGTCTATCTCTTTATCAAACCATTGATGCCAGTCACTGGGATGTATGGCAGTATTCAGTCACAGAGGAAATAATGCAAAAAGAAACCTCCAAACAAAGGTTGTTGTTATCTTACAAGAAACTATATTTACCTGCCTTTCAGAAACATGACTTCTCTGTGTAATGTAGTGATAGCACTAAAAGACACCTTAGAGCCACAGACTTTAGATGATTTAACTGGAAGGAATGACCAGGGCCCTAAAGGGAAGCAATTAAAATACATGCATCAAATTGTGGGGGAATACCAAATATTTCATACAAAAATACTTTAAAACTTTGATATAACTTTTTGAAGAAATTATTTTTGTTTTTTGTTTGTTTTTTAAGCCATGGTATCTACTCACCATAAATGGCCTGAATGCGAATAATGTCATCTTGAGAGAGAAGAGAATCATAAACTTTGAAATAGGCATAACTGGGAAACATCAAGGCCCTCGGGTCAGCAGAATGGGGGAGACCTGGTACATGGCCCAACTCATGAGCAGCAACAAGAAACAAGTTGAATCCTAAAGAAGAATAGGAATAAACCGTTTAGATACTTGTGTCTATAGTGATTCAACAGCCCTTAGGACATTATACCTTAAGCCATTGAAGTATATATATAACATGAGACATGCCATATGGGAGAAGGTAGTGTTTTTCCACTGTCACAGAGGGAGTGGCTCTTTCATGTTGTTCTGTTGGCTATAAAATTGGCTGAGTTCAGTGAGTAGTTAGCTGGAAGTGAGAGTGGGAACAGCTTTGTTGAATTGCCAGGAACAACTGCAGTTTATCTTCTCTTGACTGTGTAGTAATTCAGGCATATCTGAAAGCTGCAGAACAGGGAGAACTGCTCATATGTACACGAGGCATTAAATTATTTTGCTCTCTATGACTGTCTTCATTGTATACAGAGTATACAAAGATTGGGAAAATCAGAATATTAGCAGGATGTTCTACCTTTTTATAAACAAAAATTTGAAGTTAATAATTTCTTTAAAGTATCTCCTGAGAAAAAGCATTTGATAAGGTTAGCAAACTCGCAACCCAATTAAATCTGTTAGCTTGAAAAACAGGAAATAAACCATTTTATCTTAAACATTTATCTACATCCACAATTATTAATGAGCTACATTTCACAAATCTCATGTGTTAGAGAAGAATTACTATTCCCCTTTACAAATAAAGAAATGAGGACCAGAGATGTCAAGCGATTTAGCCGTGATCAAAAGTCTATGAGAACTGATCACATGTTTTTCAAATGATGCTGGCCATAATGCAAGAATTCTATTGCATAAAAAAAATCAAGGTCTCAACATCTCCATTTCAATAGGCAATGAGGCCAAGACTTTTCAATTTTTATCATAAAAAATGGAAAAGAGAAAGAGATCATCCCAGAACATCTCATGTTCAAGTTCCAAGTCTCTCTGATTCACAGCAGGGGCTGCAACTAAGGTCTTCTATATACCAGACGAGCACCCTAATTACTGGCCATATCACTCTTTCCACAAAAAATCTGTTCTACCTTGTATAAATAATTAAATATTCATTGGATCAGAGAGATGTTGAATCTATTGCCTAGTGTTTAGGGTACACACATGGGAGACCAGTGTGCAGTCCCCTGCTCTGAATAAAAAAAGATCTAAGACTTGGATAAGTGCCCAAACACCAGACTATTAACAATTATGGAGACTTCACAGTTGAGATCAGAAATCCCACTCTCCACTTGAAAGAATTTTTCAACAAACTTTTTGTAGAAACTGGTAAATTTACAACCAGATGACCTATCACCTGAACAAGGGAGAAGAGACTGATGTCATATATCTTGAGTTTAAAAAAGCCTTCGATCTGGTATCCCAGGATCGCCTCTTGGCAAAACTGACTAACTGTGGCCTCGGCCTCACCACGATCCATTGGCTGGGGAATTGGCTCTGCGGTAGGACCCAGAGGGTGATGGTTGATGGAAGTCAAACACTGTGGTGCGCTGTGACCAGTGGGGTCCCCCAAGGCTCTGTCCTAGGGCATATACTATTTAACATCTTCATTAATGATGTGGACATTGGTATCAGAAGCGGACTGGCCAAGTTCACCGACAACATCAAACTCTGGGGTAAAGCATCCACACCTGAAGACAGGAGGGCAATCCAGGCAGACCTTGACAGGCTTAGGAAAAGGGTGGGCGAGAACCTAATGGTGATTAACACTGAAAAGTGCAAGGTTTTCCACCTTGGGACAAAAAACCTGAAGCATGCTTATAGGCTCGGCAGTGCTATGCTGGCTAGCACTACGGATGAAAGGGACTTGGGGGTCATGATTGACCACAAGATGAACATGAGCCTTCAATGTGATACTGTGGCTAGTAAAGTGAGCAAAATGCTGGCTTGTATCTATACATACTTCTCAAGCAAATCCCAGGACGTCATTCTCCTCTTGTACTTGGCCTTGGTGAGGCCACAGCTGGAGTACTCCATCCAGTTTTGGGCTCCACAATTCAAAAAGGATGTGGAGAAGCTTGAGAGAGTCCCGAGAAGAGCCACGCGCATGATCAGAGGTCAGGAAAACAGACCTTACAACAAGAGTCTGAGAGCCATGGGACTTTTCAGCCTGGAAAAGTGCAGGCTGAGGGGTGATTTGGTGGCCACCTATAAGTTTATCAGGGGTGCTTACCAGGATCTGGGGGAACGGCCACAAACTCCTCCATGACTATTTCAGGCTGGACTTATGGAAGAACTTCTTTACTGTCCGAGCCCACAAGGTTTGGAATAGATTGCTGCTGGAGGTGGTTCAAGCACCTACTTTGAACGCCTTCAAGAGACATTTGGATGCTTATCTTGCTGCAATCCTATGACCCCAGCTGACTTCCTGCCCCTGGGGCAGGGGGCTGTACTTGATGATCTTCTGAGGTCCCTTCCTCCCCTAATGTCTATGAAATGTATGAAATCTATGAAATTGCTGCAAAAAAATTGGATTTCAATGAATTAACATTTCACAACAAAAATATTTTTTCCACTATGTCCAAATAGCTTCTATTTTGACCCAGCGCACAGTAACTCCCAGAACAAACTCTACTGCCTCTCAGCTATTTGGGAATTATATTTTGAAAGATTTAACCTGATGACCATTAGCCTTCTTTTCATCCTCCGTTTTGAGAAAAGGACTAGAAAACTGTAGAACCAAAGGACTTATTGAAGATCTTCTGAAGGAGGAGTGTGACCTTTTCTAGGAGTGTGACTTTTGTCTCACAAGTTTCCTGGACTTCTAAGGAATTCCAAAAGACTTAAATATCTCAGAAATCAGTGTTCAATGGAGTTGTGCTGGAAACCATGCAGAAATATTGTAGATGTAGTAAGCGTCTATGGAGGAATTCTATTTCCTTTTTTGTGCCTAAATTGCAGTTTTCTAGCTACACATCTGATTTGTTTTGGAACTTATCCTGGCACTGTGGACACATAAGCATGCCTATGTAGATTGAACATAGGCAGTAGGTTATGCACTGATAAACCAGGAACCAAACCTCCAAGGGCGCATCCAGACTACTGTGGTTGTGCAGTACATGGCACTGCAAACACATTTGCAGCACCACATACCACACAGTCTGGAGTTCTCCGTGTGCTGCTCCGTTTTTTTTCCTGCATTTTTTTTCTGACCTCCAGGAGTAAAAAAAAATCCAGAAAAAACCCCCAAAGCAGTGCACACTCAGGCAGCATGCGCTGCTAAAAAGTAAAGCCGGGCCACTTGGATCTGAGCTGCGGCCACCGGTCAAGCTCTGCTCAGTAGGATCACTGTGACTGCAGCTCTGGGAGGCCCCCAGGACCCCAGGTAAGACTGCTGGGGCCAGCACAGTGCTGGCCCCAGCCTTCCCTATGCCACTCAGGGCAATTTGCCATGCGCCAAAGCATGCTTGGCATGGGTTTTCCCTGGGAAAAAGAAGTGGCGGTGTAACATCCTCCACTGCTTCTTGTCTCTGGGGAACCAAATTACTCGCATGATCAGGGGACAGCAGGGCAGGCCCTATGAGGAGAGGCTATGGGACCTGAACCTGTTCAGCCTCCACAAGAGAAGGCTGAGGGGGGATCTTGTGGCCTGTTACAAACTAGTCAGGGGGGATCAGAAGGCATTGGGGGAGTCACTGTTCTCCTGAGCATAGCCAGGAGTGACCAGGAGCAACGGTCACAAGCTAGCAGGGGGTAGATTTAGGTTGGACATCAGAAGGCGCTATTTCATGGTCAGGGCAGCTAGGGTCTGGAACCAACTTCCAAGAGAGGTGGTGCAGGCTCCTACCCTGGGGGTTTTTAAGAGGAGGTTAGATGAACACCTTGCTGGGGTCGTTTGACCCCAGTACTCTTTCCTGCCATGGCAGGGGGTCAGACTAGATGATCTGCTCAGGTCCCTTCCGACCCTAGAAACTATGAAACTATGAAATGTCCACACAAAACGGACACCCAGCTACAGGGGCTAAAATATGGGACAATATCCCCCTTCTCCTGCTTCTGCTACTCATGGAGTTCTAGCAGCCTACGTTTTCTTGGCTTACGTGCCCTTATGCATCCACAATGGACCCATGTACGTACCTGCATACCTTCCTGCCCAATGTATAGCCTATTGTGCATGCTCAGTCTAAGTACATATGCTTATATATCCACAGTGCAGGGGTAACAGACTTGCAACCTGTGCATAACTACCAAAAACTCCACCGATATGGCTAGAAGACTGTCATTTAGGCATACAAAGGGAAAGAGAATGCTGCCCCTATTACAGACATGATGCAAAGCAATAATGACTCAGCTACTGGCTCCATTCTTATGCTGTTAATGAGGACCCTGTACTGTTACTGCTTCCAATGGTGCTGTTCTCATTTGTTCATTTACTTCTCATTCTATCCTTTAGTGTAGATAAGGCTGTTGTGGTATATTTGCAATTTGTCACTATGAGTATCTCAGGGTATGTCTACACATGCATTAATGTGCTTTTCCTAATGCACATTCAGTTTAGTACTTCCAATGTGAGATACTAAATACATGCACATTGGGTAGCCGATATTGCTGTGCATTAGTGTAATTGCACAAGTTTTTTTATGTGATGCTTTAATGTGCAGTAAAATAGGCTACTGTGCATTAAAGAACATGTGTAGACTCACCCCCAGTATAAGTAAAACAAGCTGCCCAGGAGAAGCAAGCATGTTTCACTGTGATCATATAGGCATCCTTTTCCAAGCAAATCTGTCAGAGAAATCTGAAGATTGCTACTAATAGCCTTATAATATGAATTAATATTAATTTCACTTTATAAACAGGTGCCTTCATCTCAGTCCATTCTTTCCCCCAAAAAAGTCAAGCAGATATTAGAAATCATTAGCATAATACAGAGATTTTTTTAGACCTACCATCTGAGCCTGCTGTCCAGTTTTCATCCTCATCAAAGTGGACTTCCCTACCAAGACTATTACCAGGTGGAAAGGCATAAGCAAGCCTTCCAAAGGGACCATCAAAATAACAAGGGCAGCTATCATGAGCTAGATAGTAACATGTAGAAAAAAATCTGTATCTAAACTAAAGGCAAAAGTGTACATTAATTCTGTTGTTGGTGTACAGTTGATATGCTACCTCTGGCCACAAAAGTGATCCTTATATCAGCTGTCCCTTCATAAATTCTACTGAAACTCAGGGGTGTCACAGCAGTCCACAATTGAAATGCCTTCCTGATTGCTTTATCCACATCTTTGTCTTTCATATCAGGTGTGCTGTTCAGTATTCTACAAATATAAAGGAACAAGCAGATATTATGTTATAATAATACTTGCAGTTGATATAGAAAATTTATCCACTACTGTCAGGATCATGGACTAGAGCAGACCTGAACCCCAGTCCTCAAGCACCCAATATTCTCTGTGGATTGTGTGTGTGAGACAGGAATGTGGCATCTTGCTAACAAGTTGTCTTCATCACAAATGTAATTATATATGTGATAGAACATGATTTTGCATCTGGAGAAACAGGAATGCACTAACAAAATGACTCTTACTCAGACATCTTCCTGATAATATTGAAAGTAGTCTCTGTTAATCCTTTTACCAATAGTAAGCCATCACTTCAGACATAATTTGAAGACATTTTAGGATTGTATAGACATCAGTGAGGTTCCAATTTGGCCTGAGGAATCTTTGCTAGAAACAATGTCAGGGGGGTAAAGTACTAACTTGACTCTTAAAGCCTAGGGAGTGTTTGCATGTTCAGCAATTAGAGAAAAAAATCTTTTTTCTTGTTAGCTTGGGTCACATGTTATAGATGATATTTTGAGACACTGAATTTGGATATCCAAAAGGCTAACTTTGGATCTATTTTTTTTCTAAACAGACCAATTTTTAAGCACAAGAAAAAAAATTAGAGAAATATTACCTATATGTCAGTCTGTTTTTTTGCCAGCCTGACAAAATGGTACCAACATCAGCATCTCCACATGTGGATTCCCGCATCACTCCCACATTCTGAAACTCTTGCTTCCTTAGCACGTTCAACCCCAAACGTGTGCAATTTTTGGATTTTTTCAAACATGGCATTAGAGTTCCTCTTCCACGAAAAATGCTTTGGATCTGGTTCATGCTCATGAAATGTGTCTAGATGTTCCTGTCCAAAAAAAAAAAAAACCCAGATAAATTTTACAACATTTTGTTTTGGATTTTAAAATGTGAATTTAGCACCACCATTATTCCTACATTGTGCTTCAGCTGTCTATGGTTTCCCAGTCCCCCAGCAATTATTTTTATTACTAGCCTGGATAACCACAAACCTATAACACTGTCTATGTTTCTTATTCCCTTGGCATTAACTACCAGTACTGATTTGACATGATTAAGTTTTACTGAAGTCTGTGCATAAATGTGCATGAAATTTATGAACTAGCAATGCCCTAACCCATTAAAACATTCAGATTCTATATGATCTAAGAGGAAAGATCTCAGTTCAATTTGGATTTGTACAACAGAGTTACCTGTTAAGTTGTCTATTTTCTTCGTTGTTTTTTTCTGGAAGTTGAGGAGGAGCATAAGAAAATGCCACAGACAGTAACAGTACAAATAGAAAATTATTCATTTCTCATTTCTTTCTCAGTGTAACAATAGTTATGCTCTACTTTCAACATAGACAACTGTTAGATTTCAAAATTTATTTGGTATTAGGGCATTTCAAAAAAGTATCTGTAGATTGACTCACAGTTTATTATGCCAAGATACAACGCCTAACACAATTCATGTGTCCAACACAAGTTAACTGAAACCATTGGATCTGGCAACTGTTGGAAATTAGGAAACAATTATATATTCATAAACTATTTAGCCACCGGTTTCAGAAGTGGCATCCAGTCTCGCGTACCTAAATTTAGGTGTCTGATACTGGATTTCAGATGAACTGAGAAATTCAAACTGCAAATGAAGTCAAGCAGAAGCACCCTTAAAAGCCAAGCCCTAGTTATTTGAATTTGGGTACTGACAATTCAGAGACTTAGAATCATAGAATGGTAGAGAAGTAGGGCTGGAAGGGACGCCCAGAGGTCATCTAATCCAATCCCCTGCCTGAGGCAGGATCATCCCTATCCAAATCATCCTATACAAATCCTTTGTCTAACCTCTTATCAAAACTACAGAGTCAACACTGCCAATACAAGATACATATTCTGCCACAGGTAAAGCAGGGGGACAAAAGTGGCCAACATCCTGCTTCTGCAAAGATTGGTCATATACATATCCCAGAAAGAGGGCCACACCCCTCAATACAGAAGAAGGCAAACTTCCCCTCCCTCCCTGTAGACCAAACCAATCTGACCATAGGGTTTAATTCCTTTGTGACTGAAATATGGTGATTGTTTCCACCCTGAGCAGAGGGACAAGACTTGTTAGCCAAGAACCTCCAGTTTTAAGTCCTAGAACTCCTGCTGCTGTGAACTCTCAATTCTTGATACGCATAGCAGCAAGGAGAGGGGTGAAGGGAATTCTGTTCTAGCCCAATGCAGCAACCGGCAAAGCCTTGAAGGATGGGACATACCTATAGTAGAATACAGGCATATCTATGCCTAGATCATCCCTGACCAGTGGCTGTCCAAACTTTCCTTGAATGCCTCCAGTAATGGAGTGCCCACAGCTTCATTAGCCAGTCTGTTCCATTGCCTCACTGTTCTACCAGTGAAAACGTTTTTCCTGATAACCTACTTTGCTGCAACTTAAAGCCATTGGTTCACGTGTTACTATCTGCAGCAAGAAAGAAAAGATGTTTTCCCTCTTCTTTATGGGAGCCCTTCAACTATTTGAAGGCTGCTGTCATGTCTCCTCTTAAGCCCCTTTTCCACAAGCTGAACATGCCTAGCTCCTTCAGCCTCTCCTCATATAACTTGCTTTTCAAACTTTCATCATTTTTGTTGCTTACCTCTGGACTCTCTCTAATGTCTCCATGTCCTTTTTTAAAATGTGGAGCCCAAAACCACACAGAGTACTATAGATGAGGTCTAACCAGTGCTGAGGTACCAGTGCTGAGGTACTAACCAGAGAGGTACTGTCTTCTCCCGTGTCTGGCACCTAATGCTTCTATTCATGATTCCCAAAACCGCGTTCGCCTTTTGTGCAGCTACCTTATTCTGTAGACTCATGTTGAGTCTGTGCTCTACCAAGACTCCCAGATCCTTCTCCGGAGTGCTGCCATCCAGGTAGGTGTCATTCATTTGGTATTTATATTTTTTTATTATTCTTCCCAAGGTGTAGCTCTTTGCATTTGTCAGCATTGAACTTTATCCTGTTACCTTCATCTCAGATTTGATTTGCATTTTCTTGGGATCCTTCTGAATTGTACACCCATCCTCCAGTGTGTTCAGAATCCTTCCCAGTTTTGTGTCATCTGCACACTTGCTCAAGAAGCTTTCTATGCCAGCATCCAAATCATTAATAAGCCTGTTAAACACTACTGGGGACCAGGCAGACCCATGCAGACTCTATGTGAAACCTCCTGCCATTCTGACATGGATCCATTTATAATTACTCTTTGCTTGTGGCTATTGACTCAGTTGTCTACCCCTCTTATAGTAGTTTTGTCCAGCCTACATTTATCCAATTTGTTTATGAGAAAGTCCTGTGGATCTTGTCAAAAGCCTTGCTAAAGTCCAGAAACACTAAATCCACAGTATTCCCTTCATCCAGCCAACTGACCTGCCCACTTTTCCATTGCCTATATGCTTTCCTTTTGCATTTGAGGCATCCTAGGTGCTCTTTGTGCAACCACATTGGTTTCTTGCCATTCTTCTTGTGCTTCCATTGTGTTAGGAGATGTGGACCTTCAAATGTTAAGTTTGGAAAATGAGATTCTTGCAACTGATATAAAAATCTTTTTAAAAGATTATTTACGTTGTGTGAAACCTCCACAGGTTATGGAAGCTCCACCAGAAGAAGCTCCTCTAAGACAGGGAGGGTCTCTGACTTGAGTAGAAAGCTGTACCAGATGACCTCCTGAAGTCCCTTCAGCCCCATTTTTCTATGATTCTATTAAAACAGGAGCATAGCCTTAGAATTCGATAGGACCAGCTCTTCAACGTTTTACTTTCCTTGTTTAAAATCCTATAGTAATTTAGGGTCAGATTCAGATTGATTCCAGACACACTTAATAAGATATAGAAAGAATTTTACACCTAACTTCTGAAGAGCAATCCAGATTGCCCCTGTCCTATAGGTCCCAACATACATTAGGCACGTGAGTTTAGGCAGGGCCTACATTTGGACTGTAATGTGTCTTCATTTCTAGATTTGGGTTGCATGTTTTGAAATAACCCAGTCTAATCACTGAAGTGTCTAAACTCTGTTGCAATCCAGATTGGTGCTGGGATATGCTTAAACCCCTCACAGGATTCAATTCATTAGACATGGCAACATATTTAAGTCATACTGGCAACAATTACAAAATGCCAGTAATGGTGCCCCAAATCTGCGTAATAGCCTAGGGAGTATAGAATTTGCCAAGAAAGTGACAAGCCTGGGCTGTGATCCTCTTCAGCCTGAGGGCATTCCCACTTCTTGGGAGTTTATCCTAAAAACAAGGTTATGACATAGTCCAGATTGCTGCACTGTCCAGTCCTCCTGTTGGAATCACTGGTATCCAAGAGTGCAAGATTCATGGGGGAAAAGGAGAACAAGCAAGAGGACTCATTACAGAAAACCTGTAATAAGGGCAGTCCTCTGTATAGGGGGAAATCCTGGGCTCTGATCACTGCTCTCAAGACTGTTTATGGATTCATGTTAGATATTCCTTGGTTAAAAATAGAAACATGCTTAATGGCAGACACAAGAACCCATATGTCTCCTCTCTCCAAGAAGGACTGAAATCACTAGGCTATAGAGAAATGCTCCTTCTTGCTAGATTTCCTTCTTGTCCCCTGGCTCTTGCACTTTTAGCTTCCCAGGGCCCAGCAGCACAAGTAAAAGGAGCGGAGGGTGGTCCCCTCCAGCTATTCTGTAACTTGCTGGTTAGGGCATTCTCTTGGGAATTTAGAGATATGGTTTTAAATTCCCTCGCAACTTAGATCTTCTACCTCTGGGGCAAGTGGACTAACCGCTTAACTATTTGGTAAAAGTGAAAGTCATTACATCCAGTCAGGTAGGTGCCTGCCATCATAAGTGGCAGTAGGCATTCTGTTCCTGAAGTGAACAAAAGCAAATAACTTGGTGCTCAAGTTTAGTACTTTAGCTCTGGAGGGCAACAGGAAGCCAAATATATCCCCATGCTTAATATTTCCTTTTGTATACCTCTAGACTCTTTCAGGCCTTCAAGCTAGTACTTTGAGGGCATCTAAGACTCTTCATTGACTGTATCTGAATTCTAGGTACCTAAACGGTCCAGTTGGATCACTCCTTTGGATTAGTGCACCTATGTCTTACACATGCACCTAAGTCTGAGTATAGGTGCCTTAGGTGAGCAAAATGGATCTGGTCTTTAGACTTTTGCCAGATTAAAAAAACCAAAACTGTTATTTTAAATATTATTTTAATGTCTTACATTATTTTCAAGGGAGAGAAAATAGACTATATTAGAAAACAACTACTTATGCATTTGTTTCTTAATTAGTCTGTAGAATTATTCAGAATGTTCCCAAAAATGTAGATGGAAAGATTACACTTTTCTAATACATTCTGTATGTGAATACATGTGCCCCACTAAAGGCTTTGGAAATTTGACCATTAACTAAAATGTGGCACAGATTTTACTCTGTATACTTTCGAGCTTTAAGACCCTGATTCAGCCAGTTTTCTTAAGCATATGCCTAATTTTAAACATATGAATAGTCCTGCTGAGTGACTGATTTTCTGCCTTTGTCTATGTGATCTAATTCTCTCACGTCGCCAATTTTTTTCACATCTTATTTCTTCATTTAAACCACATCAACCATAGCACTTCCTTTGTTAAGTAATTCAGACAAAGGGAAGTTTTAAGAGTTACACAAATTAGCGTGCCTCATCTTGCACATGTTAGCCATCTTCCACTTTCAGTGATGTCTGTGAAAACTGAGTGTATACACAACTTCGGAGAAGCAACCGAACCTCTGACAAAACAAGACTCATCATTTGCAAAA